CTTTTTTTGTCCTTCTCAGAATTGTATGATATGAACGTGCATTTTATAAATAAGACAAAGCTTGAGAGATGTAGACATACATGCATACATACTTATACATAAAATTCATTTAAAAATTTAATTAAAAAGAACCTATGCAGTATATACAGATTTTTTGAAAGTTTAAAGCAATGTGTTTGCTACTTTTTCTACTACTTAAAATCCCTGTCCATTGAGACTATAATTCCCTTTTCCTTAACTTGCGTAACATTTTCAAAAAATTGTTTTGTATTATGTAACTTGTGTTACTTGTAATGCGTTACCCCCAACACTGCTTGTAACAACAACAACAATGGTCATTTGAGAAAAATTCAATTGCCAGAAGTAAACCTGCGACTTTGACTTATCTTCTAACAATTTTGACTTCATCCTCATATTTCTGAGGTATAAAGTTAGAAAGTCTAGTTCTGAGTAAGGAAAAACATAACTGCATGTTTATATCTCACAATTCTGACTTCACAACATGCAACTGCAAGTTTTTACCTCACAAATCTGAGAACAGATAAGTCAAAATACTGAGTATGTGATCAAGCAATCCTGAAAACAAAACTGTACTTTGTTTTTACATTCTTTATTCAGTGGCAGCATAGAATGTCAATACATTAAGCACAAAAGGAAAGCTTCATAAATAGAATTTGCATATAAAACATTTAGTAATATTTTATTAGTATTCACATCATTCTCCTTACTCTTTTCACACAAATAAACCCTGCACATTTTCCACTGTAATGCACTTGTGTACCACAAATACACTGTAAACGCCATGTCTGCAGAACTTATGATCATATTACCACACAGATTGCATTTGTGTTTGTCATAACTTCACTAGAATCAGCAGATCACAGATCAAACTCACTTCTGATGACTATTTCATCAGCTTTTAAAATTAATCCAAAGCATCATATAAACTTCTGATCTAACAAACAAAACCCTTCCATAATACATCTTTGAGACTTCCTTAAAGCCACGCACTGAGTCTCTGAACTTTAACCCTAGATTATCAATATCAATACATGATTCGTGTCAAGTTCACATTTCCTCATAAAACAACTGCACTCAGGTCAGGTGACTTCTTGCACTTTTCCTGTAAAGATCTTGTGCATGCTGTGAGATATGCAATATCTTATTACTTTATTGCAATATTGAAACCAATAAAATTGCAGATTCAGCAAATACATTTTTAAAAAGGGTTACAAAGCATATTGTCAACATAAATATGAAGGTAAAAGAGAAGGACGCTATTTCTGTATTTATTTCATTCTACATACCAACTCAAAACTTTCTTTCTCTCTCTCTCTCTCTCTCCATTCAAGCTGCCATTTAGTTCTCCAACCTTTCTTGGGTTATTAAGACCCAAAGAGCATTTCACTCCCATGTCTATCAGTGGTTCCACCCTGCAGGGTTTTCTCTTGGGAGACTCATTACTCACTATACAAACACAAAGGCCAGCCAAACCCCAGCACTGTGCTTCTATGTTCATATAATCTCAAGCAACCAACTGTAGCACATTAAAAAGTTTGCAAGGCAACGTTCAACATAAACATTTATATATGGCTTCCCTGAAGTTGTGGGTATTTCTGCAGGGTTGCTGGTGAGGGCGAAAAAGGGCAGGCTTTGAAACAATTTTGGCACTTTTATCACAGTCTAGTGTTTACAGACGGTAACGTTATTAAAGCATACACTAAAAATTAAGGCAGCATGAAATGTTTACACAAACCCATGTCAGGTTTAATGAAATACTTACGGGAAGAAATCTTTGTGCTTTCTCATTGTTAGGGGACTCAAGGCTCTATTTAAAGACCTTTGATGACTTTGATTGAGGACTTCGCTGTCTATTTCGAACTTTATTCAAATTGAGATAAATTAATCGGCTGGATTTAAGTTTGGATGGCTCATCATAAGCACAAGATGCACTTGAATTCACTATTGCTGTTCTCACATCTATATACGTCTTCTAGAATTCTGAAATGAATCTTTTTGTCATTCATTCAAGAAGACCTCACACCAACAAACAAAAAAATAAATAACTAGATTGTCTTTAAATCTAGGACTCAAAAATGTCCCTTTCACATAAATGTTTTAATGCACTGTGAACTATTTTCTAAAGCTACCGTTTATACATAATATAAAAATCTAATCTGGGTAACACTTTGTTTTAATGGTCCATTTGAGTATTAGTAGACTGTCTACTTAATATCTATTGATACTGCTCTTTCAACAGACTTTTAACTGACTATAAGAAACTTTGCAAGTACATGTCAACTTACACTAACCCTAACAGTCTGCTTATGGCTCATTTTTCACTGATATGTACGGTACGGGACGAGTCACCTTTAACAGGCTTGCATTTACACTGCCCTTTTGGTTGGCGTGCTGTACTACAGAGAGTTTCAGACGACATCATTTTTACTTGTTTGTCCCTTTCTGAAGGGATCGGATATCAGGTGCGCTTCAATAATCATGCACACCAAAATAATAAGAGCTCAAGAAGTTTGTTATTCGAAGTTCATTATTCGTTAATCTAAAAAGAATTAGTCGGTATATAGATGCAATGTAACTTAAATTCAACAAATCGATCATCAAAAAAAGTGTAACCCAAACCTGTTTCATTATTTTAGATTCATCAAAATATCAATTCTGTAATGTAATATAGTATATAGCAATATAATATAGTTTTTTAGTAAATAAACGGTTCTTTTCCAACATCCTAAAAGCCATTTATTTGCTCACTGTACGTGTTCGCGGACTCAAACAGGATATAAACAACAAGGAAATAGAGTGCTGTAGCCTTGACGTCATAGTCTGAATACTTATTTGCCAATGGTTTCCTCAATTTTCCTATGGGTTATGTGTTTTTTTCTCTGAGCCAAACAAAAAATGTCTGTTGTAATCAGAACTTGATCATACTTAAATGTTTTGCAATGTAAATTACACTGCCTAACAGTATATAGGTATTTATCATAAACATACATTTTAAAAACATTACATTTGTATTTTTTGAATCCATGAATTGTACATTATAGAGCAAGTATTAGTCTACAGCATACATTATTTTACTTGTACATTAAAAGAAAAAGGAAAAAAATTTAAAATATTGAGAAAATCAGTGGTGAATTAGTTTCCTAAGTCACAACTGGATGACTGTAGCGCATTTCAATACAATCTCACATTTTAATTAATGAATCTTTCTAATCAAGAGTGTCATTTTGTAGTGACAACAATACAGATTCATATAGGGAGGATGCTAAAAGATCTCCTGCTCATCTCCATAATTCTCTTTTTAACATTAAAGTCAAAGTGACAGAGAATTATATAAAAGTGTATGAAATCTAGATCATCACCCTTTTTCAGTAAATTACCCAAAAGACATTTTCTTAGAACGTGCATATATCAGTTCGACCAATGTGCTCTTTTACTACAACATCCTAAAAACATTCCCATCACCAACAAAAAAACAACTAATAGCCACAAGGAAATATAATCCACTCTCCATCTAGAAAAGTAAATGAATAGTATTTTGTGTTCGACTTTTTGTTTAACATCTGCCTGCAATACAACCCGTTCTTCAATATTACAGCCCTGGAAGTGAATTATGTTTCTAGACAGCAGGACAAAGAAAAGTATGCCATTTGGACTGTATAGAATGAATAAAAAAAAAACAATTTTACCCGGAAGACTGACAAACTATGAGACGATGTTGATGAAGTAATAAATGTGAATGCTCATACAAACGACGGCTATGTGCAAGTACTATCAAAGACTCCACATGTCATGCAATCACAGACAAACTCAATGCAAAAAACTAATATTATCACGACAACGGAAAAGCCTTTAAATAATGTTACGACTCCAAAATCACTCACTATTTATTGTATAGATTGTGAAATCCACTCAGATAGCTGATATATTTGACTATAATATGTTTGTAGAAAACGTCTGAGCATTAAAGGGATAGTTCACCCAAAAATGAAAAGTGTTAAGTTACTAATCATTAACTTTGTGGCTCTTCAGTAGGACATCAAATATTTTGGCTGAAACCCTCTGATAACACAATTTATAAAAAGAAATGTTTCAGCGATTATATTTTGCTTTATAAGAGCTCAATGTCCACTACCTGACAAAAGTCTTGTTGTTGATCTCAGTTGTTAGAGCAGTGCTTAATTTCTAAATTGCGAGGTGCCAGGACAGATTGGGGTAACGGATCCGGCATGTTACCCGAGAATGGAGAGGTGTTGGGAAGGGTCATTGATTTTTTTTACCCTCAAAGTGGAAAACATTGGAAAACATTGGCATGCATTTTAAATTCGAATGAATCATCTTAAACTCAGCCAAAAAACTTCTACAATGTTTGGCTAAAGAAAAAGCTTGAATACTCAGATTTTCAATTTTGGCTGAACTTTCCCTTCAGCAAGAGGCCAACAAGAAGAAAAAGCCTTTCTGAATTAATATTAAATGTGTGCTACACATTTGTGTTACCATATATTAAATATGAAAGTAACACAGGTGAAGTAAACAGCATTATTTATCAGCGTGTAGGCAGTCCAGCTTAAGGAAGATACAGAGTAGATTATTTGCTCCTGAATCTTCACAGACGTGTGCTATAAATGAGTAATGCTGCTCACCACAACATCTCATGCATTTTATCACTTGAGTATCTCCAGAGGACAAGTTATACTTTGGAATTCAAGTTTGAAATTGTAAAACGATGTTATTTTCAATTTAGGTTTTGACAAACATTTTAGATGAGACACGGATTGTGGCTTTTGTGTTCGACGTGGAGTCTCGTTCCCCTGAATATGCAATGAAAAGTCACTTAAGGATGATCTATATAGCATAAGGCTACCCGCTCGCTCATATTTGTGCTCTCTCTGTAGACGCTGATGGATTTGTGTCTTTTTAAAAATAAGGTTATAAAACAGCTTTCATGGTCAAGTCGAACATAAACGTTAACCACGCCACAGTGCATGTAGGCCAGTGTATTTCGCCAGTAGTTTATAAATATGTGCATAATTACTGGAAATACCAACATACCACCACTAAAACTAACAACGGAAAAATAGAACGGAAGAAAACAGCCCACGTAAACTGCAAATTGTGGAATTGTAGACATTCAAAGAGCATGTAAACCTAATCTCTAAAGTGTTTTTAGAAGGCAGTGTGTAAACCAAAGCAGCGCATCAATGCTACTGCAGAAAGAGAAAAGAAAATGGAAGCATAAATAGTGAATATCTGGCAACCAGCTATCACAAAGTAAATGTAAGTGTCTTATAATGGTGCGATCCTTTAATATAAAAGTAGAAAGCAGGCACTAAATCTTTTCTCCTTGTTACTCTCATGTGTCTTATTTTCACAATAATCTTAATCTTTGTGACGTAAATATTAAAGGTTGCGCATCAGCTATACAATACACACAAAGTGAACTTAACATGATTGTAAAGTAAATGACACTTTTTGAATGGAGGTGTGTGTGTGTGTGTGTGTGTGTGCAGCCTTACTGCACAGTTTGGTATAAGTAACCTCTCTTATAGGCACTCAGTGGGTAAAATGTAGCGACCACAAACTTGCCATCAAAAGTACGGCCTGTCAGTAATCTCTGGGCTTCTTTGGAGTCTCCAGCATTTGCATACTCCACAAACACCTGTCAAAACAAGACGAACAATTAGTATTTCAAACTAGATGGCATAGTACTTAGCACAATGTTCAAAGTGATCATTTAAAGGGCACCTATGATGAAAATCATCTTTTGTAAGCTAATAGGACAGAACTTTGTGTAGGTATAGTAGTGTGTCCACAGTCATACTGGTGTGATAGAAAAACCAAGTCACATTTGTTTTATTTCCTGATGTTAAAATAGGATCCAAATCCCTCCCATTTTGAGACCCACCGCAATGTGATGTAGGAGTGCAGTTTCCCTGCCCACCGGTTTGATTGACAGACGCATATTAATATGTCTCTGTAGTAACGCGTATAATCTTATCAACAGGACAGGACGTGCGCAAAGCAACAGGGATTAAAATAAATCTGTTTAGCTCTCTGTGATAAGCAGCACCTCAAGAATGAGTTTTACAAGTTTAAAATGTTTTAAAACAGTGCATGTTTGTAATAAAGACAGTAAAGTTGCTACGTAATTCCTCACCACAGCCGTATAGTATCAGTATAATTAGAAAACAAGACACTTCAATACCCGTTTGTGGAGTTAAATCAGGTTTATTTTGTACACTAACATAACGGGTATCCATACAGCAGTGGATATTAACTTGTATCCTGTAACATTTGCCGTGCGAAAACGGTGCACAGCTAAAGGTGTGTGTGTGTGTGTGTGTGTGTGTGTGTTTGTTTGTGTGTGTGTGTGTGTGTGTGTGTTTGTGAACTATATAATGGCATTGTGTGTGACTGATTGTTGCAGAAAGGCTTGAATTAACTCAACAACAAATATCTAAAATAACATTTGGAAAAGTTTTTACTGTTGCAAGTAGTAGTCAGTAGTAAAACCTATCTATATTGTCTTTAGCAAAAATATGAAAATACTACTTTTTAACAACCTACACAAGCTTTCTTGTTTGAGATTTCAAAGTCTTTTTTTTTTTTTTGGACTCCCGTCACAACCAAAAACTAAATTACAAAGTAAAAAAAATACAAATTCTTCACTTTATTCTTCTTCTAAAAGCATTATTCAAAACATGTATCACTTTCCAGTTGCAATCTTCTCAGTTTTTTATTTAAATAATTTTTGATGAAACTGCAAAGTAATATCATTGTAAAGTATTGCTGTGATTATAAAGCTGGCTTGTAATGCAAATAGATTTGTACGTTTACTACCTTTTTGTCTTTCTTTCTTTGTCGTTATTTGCTAGTAGTGGGTAACAAATTGAAAGTTTCACACATTCCCAAAATAAAATTATTACTTTTTTATATTATAGACCTAGTATTATAAAATATAATTTGAAAGTATTGGTATTAATACTATGAATGTTATTATTTTAACTGTCGAGAGATGCTTTTGAGTTGTCAATTTTTATACTGTAGAGGGTGTTATGTTTTATTGTGTGATATAATGTAATAAATTAGGAATATATTAGGTAATGGATGATTCTTGTATCAGTACACACAAAAATGCTTTGTTGATTAAACCCAAACTTGGGTCAAATTTGAACAAACTCAACCATTAAATAACAAAATTATTTTTAAAATACTTTTTAATTGACCAAGCGGTTAAATCTGTTTCTTATTTAACCCACATTTGGCTTAACAACCCAGCATTTTTAGAGAGCATGAGCTGACATTTTATTAAATGACTCCAATTATCATCAGTTATTGTCATTACAGTTATAAAATGTTCATTCAGTGTGACTAAAATATACTAAATAATACACTTTCATTGAATAAAAATAAAACATTAACTACAACTTGACTAAAAAACAATAGTATACTTGGGGGAAAAAAAGGTGACAATGAATACTACTGTACTCTTCTATATTACAAAATCACCGGGTAACGGAAAAAAAATTACATTCCCTACTAAAATGAATTGTCACTCACCTGTCCCTTGCCAGGGTTCTCTTTTGGGATCAGTAGGGATACAACCGTGCCATACTTCTGACATTCTTCTTTCATGTCCTCTATTATATCTAAGACATACATATAACGTAGAGATCTGCTAAATAAAGACAATAACAAAGAATATACGTCGATTTCTGAACCAATGAATCAGAGACCGACCTTCATACTCATCTTCATTATATAGATGGCTGTCGTCAATTACGTTTAGTAGTCTCAGGACAGGTGTGGGCAGAAGGACCAGATCTTCAATATGAGGTGCTGAAACCCAAAGCAGTTCTTCATACAGTGTCACAGCACACACTGAACAATGCAGACAATAGTTTAGATGCTGAGTGATACAAACCAAAGGGAATGCTGAAGAAAGGGCTCATTAATGCAGCCTTGGCTGTGCTTCTGAGTTTAGGGTCATTGTGAAGCATACTGGGGATGGTAAGACACATCATTATAGTCCTATCTAAAGAAAACGCAACAATAATAGTTGAGAAACTGACCAAAAAATTATCTTATTTTTGAGATCTGTTCAACCACTGTGTATTATTTTAGGCCTATCACAAATAGATATTAAGCCCAGTAGGTTTTTGTAAATCCCTGTCTTAATGAGTGATTTTTCAAATCATTCATTCAAATTATTCTTCCAAAATGGCCGATTCATTTAGAAACTAAGCAAGAGACTTTAAAGCAAGTCTTAATGAATTATTGAAATTTTGTTGCTTTCAATTTGTTCAAAAATTATTTTGAAACACAATATAGCGTTGCTTTGTTCGGAGCTATTTATATTATTGACAAAAATATAGTACAGAATATCATATAGTACATAAAATAAAAATAAAGTACATTAAAAGAGTATTGCAGCTCACTCAGTGTTAACTTCACATTCATTCATGTGATGAAATTCAGGAAAATTGCACTCTTGATTGAGTAATTAATTGTATCATATCTTAAAAATATCAATATATATATATATATATATATTTATATATATATATATATATATATATATATATATATATATATATAAATATATATATATATATATATATTTTTTTTTTTTTAACAATGTATGAAAGAAATATGTATTCAATTTTACATATTCAAAATCTAATATTTAAAATTAAAAAATTACAGTTCATACAAAAATATTATGCAGCAGCTACTTATAAACATCCAACATCTTAGAAGCATCAAAACAGAAAGATCATGTGACACTGAGGCTACGTCTACACTAATCCAGATAAATTTGATAAAAAGCATTTTCGTCTAAAAACCCTTCATGTCCACACTATCGGTGAAACGCTTTCATGTACTGCGTATGCGCACAGACATAAGAGGTTTTTCATATCCACATGCCGTTTATTTACTTTCCATCTCTTTGAAACATCACAAATGTTGCAACTGTCCGCTACTAACCAAGCTCCTAGTGAACAATCTGTGTCCTTTATAGAGAAGTAATGCAAAGCATGTGTAAACTGCCATCAATCTTTAAATAAGCTGTCAAAACATTGGCATTTTCAAATAGATATATTTTCATTTCCTAAAAACGCTGTCTCATTGTGGACAATGCGGAAACAGAGAGAGAAAATATGCGTTTTAAAAGAAAACGCTTTGCTGTGGACATGGCATGAAACCAAAGTAATGACTGCTAAAATAAGTCAGCTTTGACATCCTAGGAATAAATTAAACATTTTAATATAATACACATTTATATATATATATATATATATATATATATATATATATATATATATATATATATATATATATATATATATATATATATATATATATATATATTTTTTTTTTTTTTTTTTTTTTTTTTGTAAAAATATAATACACCAAACAGTTATTTTTAATTACTTTCCACAACATTACTGTTTTTACTAAAACAATGAAAACCCTTGTGTATAGGAGTCTTATTTCAGCCTGAAATCTGACTCACTTTTCAGTTGATCTGTTGAAGAAAAAAGTGTGCTGAGATTTGCAAACTCCTTTTACTTCCTACCTTTTGATCAGATCCCTCAAATGAAAGACAGGAATAGCCGGGTAAACCAAAGCATTGCTTGAAAAGATATGGTCTACGATTGTTGAACTGTTATCCTGTAGACACAACAGAAAGCAAGAACAACAGTTCAAGTAATAGCTATTAAGTCATTTCAAATAGTTATTGCAAAAAATGACTTTATCATCTGACCTTCCATTCCTGAGACTTGACAGTTTCTTTGAGTTTCATTCCTGAGTACATCTCCAGCAGGACGATGCCCAGACTCCACAGATCCACAGCGGTTGTGCAGCCAGAGTCACTCTCCACACCTGCCTGTGCCAGTGAGTTCTGCAGCTCAGCTTCAGGAGCCCGGTATCCATCTGTCTGGATATATTTCACATCCTGTGATGAGACAGACAAGAACCACAAACCTATAATACTAGAGGCACATTGATAATACGCTGCCATTCAAATGTGTAAGGCCACACATTTTAATTAATGTTTTATTTAGCAATTCTATTTCAAATAGCAAACATTTGATTTATTCAATTAATTATATTTTGTTCAATAATTTATTCTGGAAAAAAATGTTTTTGAAAGTATAAAAAAATATATTTCATGTATTTGTTGAAGTTATAGATGATATAATTTTAATATAGAATATTGAACAGTAAAAAAATATATATGTTATGTTCCACGTTAATTGTATGAGTATTTATTTTTTTCACCCTCCTCTCTCCACTTTTAGGTTGTTTATTGGTTCAGGTGCCAGTTCCACCAATCCCCGGACAGCCTCTCTTTAAATGAGAATTTAAAGATTGTTTTGTCATTTTTAGTCTGTGATTTATTACCTCAACTTTTCTGATGTAATTCAAGTTTTCTTGTTGAACTTTGTTGCCTTTAAGTAAATGCTTTGGTTGTTGTGATACTAAACTGAGCAATAGAATATCTTTGTTAGGTTTGCTTTAGTTTAGCTTGTTTATGTTAGATTAGCTTGAATGTTTTTCCATCTGTGTAATTTTGAGATTTGTAGTTTAATTCGTTTAGATCGAGTGTCGTGTGCACTGAAGATATCGGGTTTTATTTCATAATTTATTTTTGTCGCCAAGTTTAGATGTTAGATATAAGGATTGTTTTGTTAATTTCTTTGATTTGGATTACACTTATTGTCTTTGTTTATAAAATAATTTTGTAAATGTTTTTTTTCTTGTTTTATTGTCATATATTTTGCTTAATCCACTGAGAAGAAACTGCTTTAACTTAGAACCGATTCCTGCCTCATCTTTGATCTGTCACACACATTACATCTCACCTAAATGTTAAAGCATCCTTTTTAAATATTATAAACCCGTAACAATTTTTAAAATGTACTTAATATTAAACAATTGCAAACTATTATTTTGTCAAAATATTAATTAAATGAATCAATTATGTACTTGCATAAATGCCATAGATTGTTTAAATAATTTATTATAATAGAATAATAGAATAGAATATTATTATGTATGAAAATTTTAGCTGAAAATTTATTATGCTGAAAATTGAGATTTGACATCCTAAAACATTTTAAACTATTAGATGAAATAATTATTCAATTTGTTTTATTATATTTACACAGCACTACCGTGCATCAGATCAACAAAAAGTCTTTGTAAGCATAACATACTATTTTCAAAATGACCCCAAACATTGAAATGGCAGTGCTTGTTTGTTCGTTCATTGAATGATTTTGACAGCAAATGCTAATGTGTCTGCAGCAGCTTGTTTCAACTTGTCACCTGATGCCCTTCTTTAAAGCTAAGGCCGAAGTCGATGAGTTTAAAGCACTCATCATCAGCGCTCCAGAGGACGTTGCGGGGCTTGAGGTCTGCATGGACGAAACCTTCTCTGTGCAGGAAGGTCAGAGACTCCAGAACGTCCCGGGCGCAGTGCTGAATCAACCACATGGAGTGTCCCTGATTACTGGCCCGGACCAGCAGCTCAGACACGCTCACATCCAGCAGCTCCAACAACAGGCAATGAGTAGCCACACCAAAGGGGTTATGATTGGTAAACATCCCATACAGCGTCACTAGAGACACAACAAAGAACATTTGGATCTTCTGGACTCATTTACAGTATTCATAGTATATGTATAGTTCGTATAGTTAGATTAACACTCTGGTATGTTAGTTATTTATAGGTTTAAAATAGCTCTTACATCAAGTGTTGTGTTCAAAATTATGATTGTTTAGTTATGTAGCATTGTGACCCTTCAAGACACATTTCATTCCACTGTATGTCCACACATGTAGTGAAATGACAATAAAGATTAACTTGACTCAGCCGTTTTAATGGAGAAGTTTTCCTCTTGCGAACTATTAAACATATTGTAAATGTGGGTCACCCCTTCATAAGCATTTTTCATGCATTTATGCAAGTATACCTTTTTTTGTTTTGTACATAGGAATGTGTCACTTTTACTACTTTTTTTCCCTGGACAAAAAATTGTGTCATTTTATTATGACTCACAAAATATGTGTTAAAAAAATTTGCTTTAAAATCACTTTCACACACAATTTAGCTTAACCTATTTAATATAACCAGGTACACTTTTTTTTATAAACACAGGTTAGACAGAGTATGTTAATTGTTCAACATAAAAATACATGTTTTATATAAATTTACCATAATACCTCAACTACAACACTAGACCAGATATGGCCAAACTAGGGCCTGTGGGCCAAAGTTAGCCCTTGGCAACCTCTGATTTGGCCCACCATCCTATCTAAGAACAGAGGGAGAATGATAGGGATGGTTTTGAGACTGTCAATTCAAATTGAATATAACCCTTGTTTGTTTGCTTTATTGTTAAAAGCTACCTGAAATTAAAGGTTTCAATTAAATGTTGTAAATTAATCAGATTATCTTTGGTGAGTAAATCAAGTCAAAAGCCGATTCTGCTGTTAAAAATGTGATTGTTTTATTGCAAGTAGTTGTAATTTAACGTTATACTGCATTAGTTAATGCAATTTAAAGTAATGTTTTAGGAAATTACACATGGCAAATTTAATATACTTTGGTATATTTACCTTGGTATAAGTTGCCCACGGCCCTTGATACTAAAAAATGTGGGCACCCCTGCATAAGACACATTCAATATGCGTTCTATGTAATCAAAAAACTTTTTTATATACATATATTTTAACAATAATTTGCAGTCAGTACTACAGTTTATCTTTCAGAGCTGTTTAAATCGATGGCTCTCAATTATTTTGACTACAAAATCGCCTTCTGTCCTAGAAAATATTAGGTCCCCATGTAATAAACTTATTCTTTAATATTTAGATTACGCTGTTAAAAACAAACAACTTGCAGAATCTCCTGGAAGTTGAACATTAGTAGAGTAGTCCCTTCCCCCTGCTTCAAACATACGTGTCTTAGCTTAATTTACCGATATTCTTATGTCCCTGAATCTTCTCCAGCACCGAGCTCTCCTTGAGGTACCCGTAATCTCCACCTTGCGGGTCCACCTGAAACTCCTTTACAGCAGAAGTGGCCCTTCCGGAGCTCACACGGTAGACCGAGGCCGAGACGCCCTGACCCAACCGAGCCTGCACGTTCCAGATCTTCCCGTAGATCTCAAATAACGCCGGGCTCGTCTTCTGCTCCGCGGCCGCTGAAGTCACCGCCATCGCAGGTGAGCTGACATTTGGACTGGACATTTTTGCACTAGAGCCAGAAACGCAAGCCATAAGCAATATCAACGATAATCAGAGTTAAATTGTGTCAGGTTTATAAGTGGTGTGTGCTCCATCCGTAACCCTTTGCAGAAACTTTATTTAGTTGAAATGATCTTTGCATAGTGGTTTTCTGCAAGCCAGAGTTTACAGCTAACGACCACCAACTGCTGACGAACGAAGGTTTAAATGGCATATTTTAACGCGAACAAACTAATTTTTGAGCTCTACCTCAGCATAGTCGGATCTTAAAGATCCGAAAAGCTGATGTGCGTTTATAAAACACACAGCAGATCCATTTACCCCAGCTCAGGAGGACCGAGTTCGGACATTTTTGCCACTGTTTTGGTGGCCATGATACCGGAAGTGACGAGAAAGCAAAAGTAGAGTTTCCTACAATCTTGCTAATCAATATTATTTGTAATTGTTATATTTACAAATATAAGCTCACCAGCATTTGCATTTTTTAACATGCTTCCACTTCAGTAAATATAAAAACACTGTTTTTTTGTATTTTCTTTTATTTTTCAATATAAATATAATATTTTGTACACTATTTATCATTGCTGCTATGGATGTTTTTAAAATTTATTAAATTCATTTCTTAATTAAAATTGTTAATACTGAAATTAATTACAGTATTAATTAAAATTGTTAATTAATACTGCCTAAGTTGGCATTAAGGGCAGTAATTTAGTATGATTAAATTTGACTCTACAGGAAGATAAATTGTATTGGTTGGTTTTATCATAAAGTATATATATATATATATATATATATATTTCTCCCCCCATGTCTAGTTCAGCAAGTCCCGCCCTTCTCCTCTACAACATTGGTTAGGACTATATGAATGGCATTTCGATTGTTTAATCACAAACTACGACAACGAATTAAGCACTTGTCCTACTGTAATATGGGCGGGCAAAATATCGCGTTTGATTTGACTGTGAGGTGGTGTTTCCGTGTGTGTCCTGCCACGTCAGACTGACGGATACCGAAGGAGGATCCCTGGCAGCGAAGGCGGTGCTCGTAGAGATGTAGCCGTGTCTCTAGTCCTGCTACTGAACCGAAAGGGAAGTACTGAGTGACCAGCAGCCGCTCCGAAGGTAATAGTATTCTGATATTGTTTAATAAGCATTCATTAAACATTTCGTAAGTTGATTATTTATTGACGGGAAGTTGAACAGTTGTCAAGCTGGCACGGCGGGCGACTGTGACGATATCCACGCAACTCTTATCAAGGACTAACGTTACCAGTGTATCGATTTTAGGGCAGAGAAAGGTCATTTTTAGGAACTGTTACATCTTAATGCTATATATTTCGTTTTACGAAAGGCTGTGGCAAATATTGAACCTTTGTTGCTAATAAATAAGTTATTTTCATTCATTTAAATTAAACAAGCTGGCACAAGGTGAATTGTATTAAACAGTAACGTAATAGTCATTTATGAAGCAGGTGTGATCCTTAATCTGAAATAGATAATGGTTTTAATGTTTTATCAAACTTAATAGCCCTTCAAATGACCAGAATTGATGTATGTTGTTTTCATGCCAAACAAAAATGATGTTATGCTGACCTTAAGACTTGGACTACCCTGAGTTTATATGACTGAGCACGTACACACAGTGTAGTTATCAATTTATGGATGGGATAAGATGGGTGGATCTGCCGGGAGTTCCAGAGACTCTTAGATAATCAGTGTCACTTCACTTCTTCCTCTGTCCCATCACAGACTCGTCCAGACTTGACAGACCATGGACATCCACAAACTGGCTGAGAGACTCGCTAAAGCCGGACAGTCTCATGTCATCCAGTTTTGGGACCAGCTCAGCCCTGAGGAACAAGGTGAGATGAGTCTCGACCTGGAGAGCATGAACTTCCTGGAGATTAATAACTTCTTTAAGTCGGCCATGAAGACGTCTGGGCAGAGCTCACAGGAGAAGGTGGACACCAGGATGGAGCCAGTGCCCAGAGATGTTTTAGGGAGCGTGACACGTGATCGTGAATGTCTCAAAGAATGGGAAAAAGAGGGTGAGTTCAGATATTTTCATGTTTTATGGAACTTAAGCTTAATCACTTCTTAGTGCCATCCATACTTTAAGGAAAACCTAAGATGTTTTGCTGGTTAAAGTTGGTTTATCTCTCAGCCACTATATGGCCAGATGATCAGTCAGATTACAAATGGAGAGCAAACTACCAGCTTTAACATCTAACTTTCTGTTGACATTGACTGAATCATAGCAAGTTCAGTTTCATTTGTGTTAAAGTGATTATTGTTAGTCTTTGTTGAACAGAAACTAATGTTACTAAGAAATATTTCTCAGGAAAATACAATGAATGTTGCAATACCCTCCCCACCCTGATGGACTCCACAGAACCAGATTTAAGAAATCATGACCCCCTGAAAGATAAGAAATCAACCCTAAAAAGAAACTCTGAAATAACAATAGGTCATTAGAAAAACAGCAGGTTTCAGTGTTGAAGAAACTATGGTTTGTCCCAGTGGTCCATTTTTTTGGGGAGTGGGATAATGCTCCAAAAAGGATTGAACACATCTGGTTCTGGTTAGATTTGACGTACTTGCTTAGCTGAAGTCATGCTGAGATCATTCAGCATCACATCATCTATAGTTAGGCCATGTTTCAATGCTAGGGCACTATAAAATCCATTTATTTGTTTCCACAAATGCAGTACTATGGAGTTCCAAATTATTATTGTCATTTTTGTTTAAAGCAATTGCGTACTTCATTTTAATAATAAATAAAAGTTTTGTAATCAGAAAATTATATAAAATTATAAAACTTGGACATTTATACAAGTACTAATATAATTACATTTTTTTGTATATAATTGTATTTGTATCTTTAAAAAAAGTAAAAATAAATTCTTCATTTTGGAGTTATCCTGTTAGGTACATTATTCTATACATTAGCAATATGTCTCTTTTACTATCACAATTTCTTAATCCAAATAAATAAATAAAAGTGCTCATGAAATATGTTAGCAGCTCTAGAGATGAAGTTCAAGTGTTCATGTCCTCAAATAGCAAACAACAGATGCAGAAAACACAAGTGAAGGAAACAAAACCCAGACAATGATTCAGAACGACATCCATATGTCCTTACTAAGTAGTCTTTTTCTAGTTTAATATTAATAGACACTTAGCCATATTGTTTGACTAGGAGCTACTTTTTATTTATTATTCCAATGTTTGCCAAATTTTGAGACATGCAGCATTAATATTTAATCAGTTATTTTTAAAGCAGGTTTCAATTTCAATTTTAGTGAGTTCTAAGCTGCTTATGGGTAAAGGATCATGAAGCATTACAGTAATTTATGTAAGATAAAACAGGCCTCATTAAGTCAAAGATGATAACCCCTGTTATCTGCAAATAATGAAACACAAACTGTTGCTTAAGCCAGACATTTTATACCTACAAGACACAGTGCTTTCCTGTTCACACTTGAGATATTGTAGTTTGTACAAAGCCATTATTCAAGTAATAGCTCACCCAAAAACTTTAATTTACTTTTTTTTATCAATGTTTCCATCATTTCATCATTATTGTATTCATCATTTACTCATCCACCACTTGTTCCAAAACCTGATTGAGATTCTTTCTTCTCTTAAACACAAATGAAGGTATGCCGTAGAATCCTGCTAAGAAAAAAAAAACAGCTGTTGGTTTGCATAGTATTTTTTGTTTCTACTTCCTACTATTGATGCCAAAGCCTGCTTTTTTCCCCCCAGCATTCTTCAGAATACCTTGTTTTGTGTTCAACAGAAGAAAGAAAGTCATAAAAGATTAAAACAACTAAAGTGGGATCAAATGGTTTAGTTCCTTTTAGGCGAACCCTATCCCTTTAAAGTAGCATATTTTACATCTACAAATGGAAATGCTGTTGTACTGTATGACAACATTGATGTACACATATTATGTCCATATGTTCATGGATGATATTAACACACATTCGCTAAAGTGACCTAATCTTTCCATCCACACAGGCTTGCGCTGTATAGCGGAGAACAAAGTAGCAGTTCTTCTCTTGGCTGGAGGTCAAGGGACACGGTTGGGGGTATCATTTCCAAAAGGCATGTATGATGTGGGCCTGCCTTCCCACAAAACCCTCTTTCAGATCCAAGCAGAGCGCATCCGAAAACTGGAACAACTTGCAGAAAAGCAGCACTCAAGGAAATGTTGCATTCCTTGGTAAGGTGATCATTAAGCTCAATTCAGGCATATTCAATTACAATAGGAGTAGTAGATAATAAAAAAGCACATTTTCAGCTTCGCACTAAAGCAGTTTGAGTCAATGATTGTTCAATTTAATTACTTGGATTACCAAACTTGTCCTGATCTTGAGGAAGTTTCTTTCACTGACCGTAATGCTAGTAACCTCCCTGCTATGAATGTCAAAAGATGGTTTAGTCCGTGTGTAATCGTGTTGACACAGCACCTGCATGTCGTCCTGGGGAACTAGGTCAGACCTCAGGAGAAAATAAGTTTCCGAGCCATTCTCTATCCAGCTGAATTGACCATTGACGCAATACATACAATGCATTTCCTAATTACAGCTCTAATCTCATTAGAGCAACAGAATGATAGTTTAAAAACTGGTCGTAAGATTTACTTTTTTAAAAATTATAATATTTAGTGTGGTTTGAATAAGTAGTCTCCAAAATAGACAATGACAACAAAACCTGGTGAAATCATGACCTAATGAATTAAAAGAATGATCACAGACCATAAATATGTACATAAAAAATATAAAACATATCAAAAATTTGTAATGTAATATAAGAAAAATATAAGATAAGAATAATATAAGAAAATTAATATAAGAAAAATATGTACATATCAAATAAGCAATGCTATTTTTAACTATCAAAGAATTATAAAGAAACTGAATACCACTGGGCATAAATGATTGCAAAATGTAATACTCATTTATGCATCAGTTCAAGAAACAAAGAACTTCATATAGAGCAAATTACATTTTTAAAACAATATTATTTGTATTTTCTATTTCCAAATAAAGCACACATTTGTGCATCTTTGAACAACACTTTTGAGTTTCATCCACGAATGAATCTGTTTTTACCAAGTCAAGGAGTTAATTACAAATTTATAAAGACATAATCAGAAATTGCTTACTGAGAAGTAGTTTTTTACTGTCATGTTACTTATGGTGTTAGTTGTGGTGCTTCACTTTCATTCAGAATGTGTGGCCTCATATGATAAGGCATCCATCAAATGTGCTCCTGTACTGCAACAGTAGTTCACCAACTTTATGAATACTCAGAATTCAATCATACTACTTGCCTCACAAATTGCTTTTTTTGCCTCCTATAGAGAAATGGAAACAAATATATTCCATCACAGGGAGACACTTGAATCATTTAAAAAAAAAAGGTTGTTTTGAACAAATCATCTGGATGTTAGATTCAGTGAATCACTTAGTAGGATGGGGCCTTGCCTCACCTACTGGTAGTTTTAGTGTCATATCTATGTATGCATGACAGGACTAAATCAGTCAAGATATCAACACTAAAGAACATTAAACACTGTTTATTGTTTTTTTCTAATCCCTAAAATATGAAGATATTATTTTATTGTTAAAGCCCTGTCTGTTGAAAACAAAGGAGATATTTTTAAGAATGCTGGACCCCATTAGCCATTGACTTCCATATTAGGTAAGGGCATACTTTGGAAGTCAATGAGCAAAGGTATCAGTTCACATTCTTCAAGATGCTTTCCCTTAGTTTAGAACAATTTAAGGTTGAGTAAGTTGAGTAATTATGCTCTTAGGTAAAATTCTGTAAACGTCTAGCCTTGCAATTGTTCAATGTTCAATGTTTTGTTTCACCAGGTACATTATGACAAGTGGCAGAACAATGGACATGACCAAAGATTTTTTCATTCAGCACAAATACTTCGGATTAAAGGAAGAGAATGTGGTTTTCTTTCAGCAAGGCATGCTTCCAGCCATGGACTTTAATGGCAAAATCATTCTGGAGGGCAAATGCAAACTAGCCATGGCACCAGGTAAGTTTTTAAAGCGAGGTTCCAATTTATTTTTGTATAGTGAACTTTACATTTTTTTGTTAAAAAAACTCATGTGAGGTACAATCCTCAACCACAGACCTCATTTAATAATAAAAAAAAAAATAATAATAATTAATAATAATTAATTAATTAATTAAATACTGAGAATGTTCTGCACTTATATTCTATCATAGTATGTTTTCCGTGATTTTTTATGTTCAGATGGTAATGGGGGTCTATACAGAGCTCTCGGGACACAAAATATTGTGAAAGACATGGAGACTAGAGGAATCTCCTACATACACGTCTACTGTGTGGACAACATTCTTGTGAAAGTGGCCGACCCTGCTTTCATTGGCTTCTGTACACTTAAAGGAGCAGATTGTGGTGCAAAGGTAATTTCTAAACATTTCAGCCGCGCCCTGGCTAGTTTTTCCTCTTTTGTGCATAATGAAGAAAGGATTGTACATAGCAGGTTCTTTCAGAAATGTATACACAAATGCACAACCTTAAGGCTTCATTATTATTAACTTGTGTTGTGTATATATTTAGATTTTTGTTTTAGTTTATTTGTTGCTGATTTATTATGGACTTTTTGAACGCCATGATGGGGGAAATGTGTTTTGATAGTCCACTAGATGGAGCAACTGTTCAAAATTAAAATAAAAAATAGATTTACAGCATTCAAAAGTATGGGGTCAGTACGTTTTAGTTAGTTAGTTAGGTAATTTTTTATAATTGTGACTTTTATTCAACAAGGATATAAAATTGATCATGAAATGTGACAGTAAATACATTTATAATGTTACAAAACTGAAACAGTCAATCCCTAAAGCACCCTGAAGCAACAATAAGTGCATGGGAAAATCACCATGTGAAAATGTGCAAAAGGGAAACAACAATCCTACACACTATCAATAATAGCTTTTTCAATATGTTATTATATAAGACATCTCAGTCCAATGACGTTTATCACTTTAAAAACCAAACTGTCATATATAACAAAAATGTTCATACAGCAAAGTGTTGGTACTATGTGGAATAGTGTTTCCCTTTTGCACATTTTCACATGGTGATTTTTCCCATGCACCTATTGTTTTCTTCAGGTGTGCTCAGTTTGCTTTACGAACATAGTTTTAAAAATTAAAAAATGCTGGACTTTTGAACATACGACAAGAAAAGTTTGTCTTATTAAAAAAAATCTGTTTTAGCATTAAAAAATAGAAATCAGTTTAGTAATAAATTGTTAAGAATGGTGGCACGGTGGCTCAGTGGCACGTCACAGCAAAAAGGTCGCTGGTTTGAGTTTGGGCCAGTTGGCATTTTTTTTGTGTGTGTGGAGTTTGCATGGGTTTCCTTCAGATGCTTTGGTTTCCTCCCCAGTCCAAAGACATGCGCTATAGGTGAATTGAATAAACTAAATTGTCCATAGTGTATGAGTGCATGTGTGAATGAGAGAGTGGGTGTTAGTTGGTGGTTCATTCCACTGTGGCAGCCCTTGATAAATAAGCCTAAGTAATAAGACTAAGCCAAAATAAAATGAATTAGTGAATGTAATTTAAGAAGAATTAGTTCAATTTCATGTGACACTGAACACGTCAGTGTCATTCATCTTTTGTCATTCCAAAAAATGTGATTTAAAATGTGATTTTTATATCTATGTCACCAAATGACAGCTTTTTGATCAAATAAATTACCAGAAACCTAATCAAACCTTACCTTTTTACTGTATGTGAAGCAGTAAGAGGAAGGGAATTAAGGAATTTTAATTATTTCTTTTTTTTAGACTCCTCCCAAGTAGTCAACTACCCACTTCTAACTCTTCAACTAGTTATTTAATGATGCTTGCGTTAGAAATGTTTTTTTTTTTCTTTTCTTACGTGACTCTCCACTTAGCCACACATCCTCGTTCCTCAGGATGTTGCTTCAGGTAACATCTTCACATGTTCTTCTGCAGTCTGCATACACAACAGCAAGCAGGGAAAAATACTTTTATAAGGAACGGTGGTAATTCTGGACATTTTAACTGGTCTCCAGTCAGGAGCTAAATTGCCTTTTAAAACTCTTATATAACCAGTCTTGTGATTCAGGAAGCCAATTAATTTAGCCATTATTTTCAGCAAAACCTCACAGTCTGTGACGCTGTGGTTATTATGATGCAATGGAAAACAAATTACTAGCCAATATCTGTTTGTGCACATCCAATTTATATTATCATTAATATGTTTTAATGATGATTCAGCATAGATATCCAACATCTAATTGTAAATGTGTATCTGTGACTATTATTAGAAATGATTCACAAGAGGTGATGTGTGTTTCACAGGAGGAAACGTTAACATAACTCTCCATGTTTTTCTTGACTGACCAGATAGTGATGTGCTCACCATAGTGTTTGATGGAATCTGGAAGTGCTTGTTTTATTATGTCTGAACACATTCTTCCGCCATTAGAGTAATTATTCTGCTCTAATTCTTTCTTTATGAATTGGGGTAGTTTAATCCAATGTTATTTGGAAGTGAGAAATTGGTTTCACCTTAAAAGTGTCTTTTGATTTGGCCTGAAACCATTAGAGTGCAAAGCATTTGTGAAAGTATTCGCACGTGATTTTTGGTTCAGATGTAAATACTGAACAGCTGCTTTTGAATACTGAGGTTTCTGAAGCTGCTAGCAATTAAATGGTTCCTTCGTGACAGGGGGATGATGGTAAGAAAAATCGGACCCACCCACCCTTTATAATTTGTGAAGCATGCATTTAAAGTGGCTTTAGCTCGAAGACATTCCCCCATCCCTATCCCTCCACCCAATGCTAACCCTTCATCAACCAAGGAGTTTATAATTTGTTTCTCAGATGAATGGAAAGGGTTTTCTGCATTTGCCTCGGCTGTAATTTAGCACAGACCTCAGGCAAACACAGACACAAAACTGTGTGAGCCATTCAAACATAGCAGGACAGTTTTATTTAGCACAAAAATGACAAATTCAGAATTTCTTTCATGTATTTATTTATTTCTTAACATGTATTGATTTTTAAATGATTAAAATACACCTTTCAGAAACTGTGTTAGGCTTGGTTTTATTACTTGACAAGTTATTATTACAAATTGTTATCTGTTGATGTAGGATATAATCTTTATGACAGGTGAGAAATGCAAACAAAATCTATTGTAATTATTAACAAGAGTTTACATGGCTTGTTACAGTATTTTAGATTCTCTCATTTGTATTTAAATGTTATAATGAGGGTAATAATAATGAAAAATAGTCAGTATTAACTCTGTACTGTGTGGTATAAAATAAAGCTAAAGCTTTTGGCAAAAACCTATATCACAATTGAATTCAAAATATTAAAGTGAATGCATAGAAGGTTGGTTTTTGGACAGTAAGGTGTAAGTGTGCGTGTGTGCGTGCAAGTGCGTGTGTGGCTGCAACAGTACTATATTATTTCAAATGTATTTTTCTTATTATTTTTTTATCCCTGTAATGGCAAAAGCTAAATTTTTGGTTATTTTTTTAATTTAGCCTTGAGTGTCACACTGTAAAAAAAATAAATTTCTTCATACTGTCCCAACACAAATCCATTAAGTTAATTTAATCATTTTTACAAATTTAAGTGAATTGAATCTAGAACAATTAAAGGGCACATATTTTACCCCTTTTTCAAGATTTAAGATAAGCCTTTTGTGTCTCCAGAATGTGTCTGTAAAGTTTCAGCTCAAAACACCCATCTCATTGTTTATTATACCTTTCAGAATGTTAGCATTTCTGCTCTGAACACAATGTAGCTGTTTTTGTGGCCTGTGCCTTTTACCATTTACCATTTCCACATCCCTGTCAAAGTGTGCCTCAATCTCTGCCTCTGCTGTGTCAGATAAACAGCATAAAAGACATGAAGGAAGCAGATCTCGTAACATTTGTGAGAAATGCTACAATAAGAACTTTCCCAATGATTATTTGATGTATTTGTTGTGGAGTTAATTTAAGCCTTTATGCAACGAGTCGCACAAAATGTTGTTACAAAGTTCACGCACACACACAGTGTGCGTTTAACCTTGAACTGTTTTTGCACGAAAAATGTGACCGGATACAAATTAATATCCACTACTGTATGGAAATCCATTATGTTAATGTACAAAATAAAGATGCGGCTGTGGTTGATAAAGACGGTAAAACCGCTTTAGTTGATTACAAACATGCACTCTTTTAAAAACATTTTTAAATGGTAAAACTCATTCTTGATCACATTTGATGATGATTGATGATCACAGAGAGTTGAACAGATCTTTTAATCTCAGTTTGTTTTGTGCACGTCCCGTCTTGTTGATATTATATGCGTTACTACAGAGATGTGTAAATACCCGGCTGTCAATCAAATCGGTGGGTGGAAAAAACTCGCTCCTACATTACATTGCATTAGGCCTCAGAATAGATGGAATTTGGATCTTATTTTAACATCAGGATTTTTTTTATTTTTAAAAAGAGGCTTTTTTTCTTTTATTTACCCAAATATGACTCTGAACACACTATACCTACACACAGTTCGGTCCAAACTGCTTCAAAAAGATGATTTTTATCATAGGTTCCCTTTAAGTTGTCACAAAAAAAAGCTTAGGATATGTGTTTTAACTCATTTTAAATAAGTAGTGTTTAAAACAAACAGCAAATGTCTTTTTTTTTTGAGTGCATGATTCTTCAAAAATAAATCTGTGCCACAATAAAATTGTGCTGTTTAATATTTTTGTGCTAAGCTTTTTATTTTGCAATATTGCATATTCACAAGTGGTCAGGACATTGAGACTTCAAAAAAGCATACATTTTGCTGAATTAATAGATGCATTTGCTTGTGATTGGCAGGTTGTGGAGAAGACCAATCCCACAGAAGCAGTGGGTGTGGTCTGTAAGGTGGACGGCCGTTATCAAGTTGTAGAGTATAGTGAGATTACCCTGGCAACGGCGGAGAAGAGAAGCACTGACGGTCGACTGATGTTCAATGCCGGCAACATTGCCAATCACTTCTTCACCCTCACTTTCCTCAGAGAGATTGTGAGGTTAGTCAGTGCTCAGAGAAATGATTAATTCATATTTTTTTATTCATTTTTAAAGTCAGTTTTTGATTGTTTATCTATGAATCAAAGCATTTGGAGCTGGTTGAGGATATTTAGTTGCTAGGCAATGATCTCGGAAACACATTAAACAGTGCAGCTATTTCTATGAGCTATTTCCAATGAGGTTTGCCATCTTGTAAATACTAGACAGGATGGAGCTGACTTTAATGCGCACTGAGAATGAGGTAAATTCAGGAGAGGAACATCTGCAGTTTTTGAGCGTCTGGTATTTTAAACTCAGATGACTTTGCCAGACGTGTTCTCTTATTGTCATTTTTATGACATTTTAACTGAAAGAACATGCTTGGCTTTTTCTGTTCTGTTACTGTCTGTCTTTATATACCTCTATATCTTTCTTTTAGGACTCACGAGCCGCAGTTGCAACACCATGTGGCACAGAAGAAAATCCCCTACGTGAACACTGAAGGACAGCTAATCAAACCTGACAAACCCAATGGGATTAAAATGGAAAAGTTTGTCTTCGACATATTCCAGTTTGCCAAGTTAGTGTCAAGAGTTTTATTATTTTTCTTCCATTCCTGTTTTCAGTGTGTGTGTGTGTGCGATTTGAATTGAGGATTCTCGTTTACACCTCTTCCAGTAAAGCGAAACGCCTAATAGGGGTTTTACACAGTATTCACAGTGAAGACAGGGCGTTGTACTAATGTCACGCATAATTTGTATTGTTTTTCTCTTTGAACAAAAAAAGAACCAAAAAAAAAATTTTCTACTCTAGCTTACAATTTTATTAGTAATAAATTATTATTGCTTAAAGATTTAGATAGTTTAAAAAATCTTGTAAAGACTAAAATAGATCAAATTTATACCACATTTTCAGCATGCTAAAGAAATGTAATGACTTAGTGAAGTTGCTTTAAATTGATTTCATTACATAACATATCATGCAATACCATCTTTTTATTTAATTAATTATTTATTTGTTTGTTTGTTTGTTTGTTTGTTTATTATAATTTTTATGTATTTTTGTTTTGATCCAAAATCCAAAACTGGTACTAAGATTTAAGATCAGAGTCCAAAACCTAGTACACCCAAATAAATATGTTGTGAGGAAAACTTTTTTAAAATTAATTAATAAACAGAAAAAATCAAGAGAAACATAAAAAAATATCTAAAACTTAGTTGAAATTTTGTAGTTTGTATTTTTGTTGCAGCAATTTGTTTAAACATAAATGTATTTTCTTTCTATTACTATAGATCAGTGGTTCTCAAACTTTTTTTTTACCAAGTACCACCTCAGAAAAAAATGTCTCTCCAAGTACCACCATAATGACTGGTATTGAAATACATAGTAGGCCTAATTACATGCCTACAGCTCTGCACAGTTCACAAACATGACAGATTAATTCTTCTTATTATGAATATTTATAATTGTCAGCCACTTTAAACATAATAAATAGTTATACAATAACACACTTGCAGGTAAAAAAAAGGTAAATAAAGCGTCATTGTTTGAATTTAAATGTAATTTTAAAAGTTAATAAAAAATGGCACTGTCCTTAAAAAGTTAAAATAAAACTACTGTACTTAAATGGAAAGTATTATCATAAATAATAATACTGGCCAGCTCAGATGGGTCTCACGTGGGCCAGCAAAGATGGGTCGCACATTGGCAATGTAAAAATAAGAATATTTGAATAACTCAATTTCGACGAAAATGTCAGATGGAACCTTAAAATTCTAAGGTGACAATACATTGTCTATATTCGCTGAGAAATGAATAAAAATATTCATATTTCAAATACTTATTTAATCTGAATGAATGTATCAATGAGAGTGAGCCAGAGCTTTTAAAGTAGTTAAAGAATAGAACTAGATTAAACTATGAATTAAACTAATTACCTCAGTGATGCTAAAGTAATTCCGGTAACTAGTATTGCAGATTCTTCATGTTTTAGAATCTGCTGTTTGAAAAACAAAAGTCATTTATAGAAGTGTCTGTGTGTCTGTGTTTGGTAGAAAATTTGTGGTTTATGAAGTTCTGAGAGAAGACGAGTTTTCTCCACTGAAGAATGCAGACAGTCAGGATGGGAAGGACAATCCCACTACAGCCCGTCATGCTCTCATGTCTCTGCATCACCGCTGGATCCTAAATGCTGGAGGACATTTTGTAGATGAGAACGGGACCCACATACCTGCTATACCCAGGTGAGACTTTATTTTCTCACCATGTTGATTTTACAATCCCACACAGTATGGTGTCATTTCTTTTCCTTAACACACAAACTAAAAATGTATTAAATATTGTCACTGATGTATAAATTTACCTTTTGGTTAGTTTTTTTAATACTTTAATTTCATATATTTGTTTTTAGACTGTTTTTTTTTTTGTTTTAGTTTTTATGTGTTTTACTACACACATTTTTTGAAAAAACATGAAGATGAGCACATTCTAACCGAATAATCTTTTTTTTTTGGCTGAAAATGTTTTAGCCAAGAGTGTGTGCGCTCTTTATTTGTTGCTTACATTCCCACCTGAGTTGATTTTCACTCCCCTTTACCTTCAGTTTAAGTGTAACCACACAATATGTCCTGTGTAACATTTCTAGAGCTGGACCAGCAGGGACAGTGACTCCTGAAGTCAGCCAGAAGTAACTATTCTTACTGTCGTACATATAGTGCATGGTGATGGGGCTTCGCTCTTATTAGATCCCGTCTGTTAGAGCTCAGTGGGGGAAGAAGGTGTCCAATCCCAGACATGACATAGCAGTGGTAAAAAAAAAACTGGCATTTCTTAACCGGCTCCGACCCAAGAAAGCAGCTACTAACGGGCAGAATAATGTGCATGCTGGGAAATGGGCATCAGGCATGCTGAACTGAACAAGGCTGCTCCTCAGTATAACAAATAATCTGGTTTAGGTGCTTACAATCAAGTTTTGCTTTACTTAAAGTGGCAGAACATCATACTTTGTTCATGAAATGTTTAATACTGTACAAGTGATTGTGGTGGTCTGATTCTGTTTCTAATGGGTAAATCATATGTATATTATGATTATTGAAGAAAATCCTTTGTGAATCTAACCTTTTCAAGATTTTAGTAATGTTGTGTAAAATCTTTTCATTGTTTAATGTATATAAAATGATTAATGCTTGGTCTGCATGGCCATTCAAACACAATTCTAACCTTTTTTGCCATCACAGTCTGAAGGATGGAACAGATCTGCCAATCAAATGTGAGATCTCTCCTCTTGTGTCCTATGGTGGTGAGGTAGGAGTCATCTAAAGGCAAAACCAGAAGGATTTATTTTGTGTTCACATTTGGTAGGTTTGATTCAGTGAAAACTCTGGTGGAGTTATCTGTTAGCGTGGTTCATTTGAATAACTGTGAATACTATCATCAGTCGTGCACCAAACCAGTGTAAACTGTGTTGTGATTTTTGACTCGAGCATTAAAGCTACACTGACCAAATAAATGTAAATGAACCAAAAACATTTACACATTTTTTTTAATAAGTCGTGTCAAGTTGGTTTGGATGAACTTCTCATTCTTTTGAATGTCTAGTAAAATGTACTACATGTTCTTTTTACGTGTAGTCAAATTTGCTTAAATTATGTAAAGGTTTGTTGAACTTCTGCTTTAAAATTTCTTTGCAGTACTCTGGTATTATTTTAAAAAGTATTGATAAATCAGTGTAAAACACAACTGGAAAACAGTCAAAAATTGTAAATCTCAGTGTCAGAAAGCTAAGTAGTTTGATTTTTGTATTTTTAAACAACAAACACATTTGAGTAAAATGTACTTTAAAACTAAAAGCTTCATATTTGAACCGAGGCTTAATGAACCTATTTTTATTCTTTGTCTGAATAAATGAATACTACAGTGACCGAGAGAGCTTAACATGCTGTAATAAAAAAAAAAAAAAACAGCAAAGCTTAAGCTTCAGCTCAATCACACTGCTTATAGCCGCCTGCTGTGCTGTTTTAGATGCTGGATGATTTATTTCCTCATGCTGCCAACAATTATTTGACCGCTCTCACAAATTACCTGTTTTTGTTCGGTGTCTTTGACTTTAAAACCAAGATTTTCCCATATTACCGACGTGCTATTCTTTTTTTTTTATATTAATTCGTCTATTAATGCTTTTAAAGCAGCAGACACCGCCATCCCACTCGTTTGTGCTTCCTTGTTTGTTTGTTTGTTTGTTTGTTTTATATTGTGGGCATTCTGCATAGATAGTTTTGCTGCCCTATTCTGATTGGGCAAAACGAAAGTGTGTTCACTCAGTTGGTTAGTAAGGCTCTCACATACAGATGACAGTCATGCATTTTCTCTGGGTGGGGGAAATGAAATAATATATATTAATTTAGCTAATCGCAACGTTTAAAAATGTGATTACGTTTGGATTAATTGTACAGCCCTAATGGAAATGTTTCAAAGGGACTCTAAAAAGTGAAAGACCCGGTTATTTATGTTATGTTTACTTAGGCTGATAAAATAAAAAGACAACGAAGTCAGGGTGTTAAAATAAACAAACAAAAGTGTTCAAAAACCTTTCAATTTGCGTTTTTGGGTCCCCTTCACACACTTCCGTTGTGTTTCGTGATTTTTGCAAGTGTTGTAATAAAATGCAGCACATTTTCGTAAATTGTTTGCGTTGTGAGAAAATGCAGATTGTTTATTTTTGTGTATGCGTTGTGAGGATTTGCGGCATGTGTGCTCTCAAACGGATGAAGATCTTTATTTCTTAATTCGCAGGCACTTTTTGTAATTGCTTGTGTTTACTTAAATTGCAACATGTTAAGCTCTTTCGGCCACCACTAATATAGACACTTGTAGACTAGATATATGTTACACTTTTTTTTTTTAATAGTATTTACTTAGTTACTTAATATTTTTTAATAAGTACTATCATATATGCCATAAAATCCATTATTTATTTAGTTTTGTATTTGTAGCTTGTATTTTAAACATGACCGAATAAACCTGATCTAAATGTGCCGTTTTCTTCAGACTAAATTAACCAAAATAACAAATCTACAAGTGTGAACACACGCTTAATAGTTGAGGTGCAAGAAATAAAATGCATACCTTATAGTGCTAGTTCCTAACTGTAATAGTAACCAGTATCTCTTTTGATTCCTAGGGTTTGGAGCATCTTGTGAATGAAAAAGTCTTCCAGCCGACTCTGATCATCAATGAGAGCGGCGTCCACGAGCTTGTGAAGAATGGCCTGTGAAGCTGGAGCTACTGCACTTGAAACCAAAAAAATGAAGACTCTTGATCTCTTTATCATCTCCATTTTTCAACTAGGGTGAAGGAAAGCATGAAATTCTAGTGCAATAAAATGAAGGAAGGAGGGGGCCAGAAGGCTAAACACAATCAAACCGTTTTATGATCAAACTATTTATTTTGTGAAGACTTATTTTTATATCAATATCTAGTGCTTTTTTTTCTACAACCGGTACTTGGGTATTAATTTATGAATAGATGTACAGCATCGCATCAAATCAAACTCAATGATATGAACTGTAGATAGCTTTAATGGACACCGTTAAGACTTTAGGCATTATTACTTAATCATTTCCATTCTTAAAACATATTGATAACTGTAAAAACTACTGTAAGAAAATGTTTGGTCTTTTCTGTGCATGTCTGTTTTTGACAGGTATGTTTCTCGAGCAGAGTAAGTGAGCAAAAGTATGGCATTACTTCAGACTTTCCAGCACAGGATTTATGGGAGAGGATCTGATTGGTTGGAATCTGTTGCCGGCACACTCTCTGCAGTCTTTTCCGGTTAGCTTTCCTCTGTACCACATTTGTTAGTTCATTTATGTACATCCATGTATAAAATAATTGATCTTGAAAATGAAAGATTCCTCGTTGTTTACTTTCATTTCTGTGTAATCATTGCTTTTCCCAGTAACTATTTCTAGGAATTTCTTGAATTGCATTTGCACAAGATGGGAGGAAATCAGAGAGCTTTATTGCATATAATTTGGAAACTGGAAATGATCACATTGCTGCAATTTTCCCATTGACTTTTAAGCAGAGATAAATACTTCCTTGATTTAAGCATGTGATTAGTGTAAACAGTTATATTTCAAATGTCTGTTGAGTGTGGTTTGTTTCCTCTTATTTGATTACACTGAAAACCTTTTCTCAGAATTCTTGGATTTGCATTGCCTTAAATTGGCAACGAAAAAATCATCTCCAGCCAATTATTTGGTTCTCTAGGAATTCAGAAAGGTTTTAATTGTATTACAGAACAAAAGCTCATAAGAGAAATGTTTTCTTCGTTAAAACAGCTTGAAACATATCTGATTATATTAATGGCATGGTTGAACCTGGGCTGTAAATAAACTAAATAAACTACAGCTATGGAATGAAATTAAAAATACCACAAAATTCTCTCAGTTTCTCTGGGTTTACTGGATTTATTAAGTGTATGGGTTTGAGTAAAAATATATATATTTTTTTCAATAGAAGTAATAAAATGTTAAGCTTAAAGGGATTGTTCACCAAAAATGAAAATTGTCATCGTTTACTCAGTCTCAACACGTTCCAAGAGTTTCTTTCTTCTGATGAGCGCAAAGAAAGACATACTGACGGATGTTGGAAAAAACAGCCATTGACCCCCATAGTATTTTTTTTTTTACAATTGATATAATTTTTTTTTTTTTGTATTGAATTGTTAAAATAACTTTTATATATTTTAGATTGAAAAAATCATTATTTCCAACATTCTTCAGAATAACTTCTAGAATAGTGTTGTGTTTGTGAAATGTATAAAAGTTTACAACCCCTTAAGAATGCATAAATGGTGATCTTTTTAAGGTGAGCTATGCTATCCCTTTAAATACATAACAAAACTCATAAACCCAGAGAAACTTGTCAAAAGTTCTTTGCATTTTTTCCCTAACTACCCTAACCTGACTAGTTAACCTAGTTAGGCCTTTAAATGTCACTTTAAGCTGTATAGAAGTTACTTGAAATCTATCTAGTCAAATATATATATGGGGGGGGGGCTAATAATTCTGACTTCAACTGTGTGTTCAATCCACTTAAGTTTGTAAAAACGATTAAGTTAACTTAATCGATTTGGGTTGTGACAACATGAAGGAATGGTGTGGAACTCACGATTTTCTTTACAGTATTTGAAATGAAATATGGGATCCATGACCTTTGAAGAATGGCATTGCATCCTCTTGCATTTGTGCACGTGAGGAAGATTCATAAACCTATAGACAGAATAATGTTTTGTGAATAATGAAGAGTAACACGTGGGCCATTCTTTAACTTTTTCACTGGCTTGATATTTTTTATTGGTAATCCAACGAGACACAGAAATGTGTTTCTTTAGATCAGTTTTGAATTCTTTTCACATTTTCTCCTATAACAATAGTCCTGTATCGGTTTTCCATCTATAAATTTTAATTGAATATCCTGTCCCTAGCCAGACCTAATGGTGAAAAAAAATGTTGGGGCTGCTTTTCTCATTATGTTGCTGAATGACTTTCCTCTGTAGAGGAGGAGGAGGGATTTAAAGGGGAAGGCGAACTAAATTAAAGGATTCACCAGGAAATAATAACTATTCTTTTTTTTTTGGAAATATACAGAAAAAAAGTTTGGCTTCTCTGCAATTTTCTATTGTAGTTTAAAATAAACATAAAAAGGCAACTGCTCAACATAAAAGATTACACGTTTTATATTAATTTGCAGACAACACAGTGTGTTATATTTTAGCCATTGTGTTAACTTAAGAAGAGTTAAAAAATCAATATTTGGTGAAATAATCCCAGGATTCCATTAAAACAAAAAAAAAAAGTTGTAAATGACAATATTTCCTTTATTTAAAAGAAATTTTATCAGACAATTTTCTTCAAACACTGCACAGTAAAACCAGAACATGAGAAAAACTGAAAACACATTTTCAACTGGTCTCATTATTTTGTTTATTTTCTTATGGCAGCTTAACAAAGCTCTTGGGAAAAAATAAAACACCACCTAAAAGAAAATTAATATTGACTCCATGTATTTGCCATTATGTACGTGTTTTGAGTAAAATGTTACTTCTGTTTTAATCTAGTACTGATGACCAGTCTTCATTTAGTCAATATAAAATATTCCATGATTTTACAATTTAAATGTTGGAGAAAAAAAGCTAATAAATGCTGTATACCACCACAGTTATTATTGTTAATTTTCTCTATTAGTGCTAACAACCAATTATCTAATCATCTCAGACCCTACACTACAGGTTAAAAGTTTGGGGTCAGTGTTTTTTTTTTTTTTTTTTTTTTAAGAAAATTATTCTGTTCATCATGGCGGCATTCATTAAATGTAAAAAAAAAAAGTGAAATATGTAAAAAAAAACTTAAATACACAATTTCTTATTGAATGTAGTTTCAAATGAAATGATTACTCTAGTCTTGTTTTTATTGCAATTACCATTAATAATAATAATATGAATTAATATTAGAGTGGTTTCTGAAGGATCATGTGACTGAACACTGAAGCTGAAATCCATCTTTTAAATTACTGGAATAAATTGTTAAATTAAATTCGAAACGACTTTTGAACAGTTACTATACAGTGCAATAACATTTCGGAATTTTACAATTTTTACTGTGTTTATGATTAAATAAATGCAGCCTTGGTGAGCAAAATAAGCTTATTTTAAAACATTTAAAAGTACTACTGATCCCAAACTTTTGACCGGTAGTGTACATGCATGTATAAGCCTACAATTTAATAATAAAAACTAATTTGATACATATATACTTCTAAAAATATACAAAATTAGTTTTTATCATTAGGAAGGTAAATGCAAAGATGGAATAAATAAAAAATGCACTATTCACTACAGCAACAAGAGCTATTGAATGGCAGCGAAATATTTGATCATATGCACATGTCCACAACGTTCAGAAAGACTTTGCTACTATCAAACGTTTTTATTATTATTTTTATTATTATTATTTTTATTATTATTATTATTATTATTATAAAACTTACCTACTCTTATTTCTGTCGAGAGATTTCGCTTCTTCGTAAATGCTGCTGGATAATAAGAAAACAGAAAATGAATATTCAAGAAAATCTCTGATTGGTCACCAGAGTCTGTCTTAATTGAAACCTGCTGTATGGCACGAAGAATTTTGGGACTTTGGCATTTTTCCAGATTCCAAGAATCCACAGAATGTTAGATTCTCTCTCTCTCTCTCTCTCTCTCTCTCTCTCTCTCTCTCTCTGTCTCTGTCTTTTTCTCTCTCCGTTTTTTCTTCATCCAGCGGTGTCTTACATCAGCTTACAGTGCCTGAATGTGCGACTTAAAGGAGAACTTCGGATAGAGAGATAGGTTTGTTTTTAACGTCCTAGTCACACATTCATAACTTGGAATTAAGAGAACTCTGGACAAATGGTTTGAAAAAAACAGCGCAAGCAGTAAGTTTGCATTCAATCAAATTTCAGTGCTTTTCTTTGTTTTCGTTTGTTGGTTAATGTAAGGAAATCTTGGTTACCGTCCTCTATTTGATTTAGGAGTGCGTGTTTATGATTGACTGTGATAGTTTTAAGGTGATTTCGTGAGTTTCGCTGTCTTTTGTGTTAAAGTTGAATTGGACAGCTTCTGTTTGCATGGCAGACTAAAATAGCGGATAGCAGAGCGACTTGATTTTGGTCAACTTTTGCAAGCCAGCTGTTTTGAATATAGTTTTTAACAGACTAGTCATACGAGTTAGGAACTTGTTAAGTTTCACATCAGTGTACTTAAAGTTATTGATCTTGTTTGGATATTAACGTACAATGTAGTTTTCCTTGCTTCCACTCAGGACTGACAGGAGGACAATTTGCCGTTTTTATATTTCAAAAAAGTTGCTCCGTTTAATAGCCCATAGTTCAGACTCAGAAATAATCATTACCATTTAACAATGCAATATTTGGATTTATAAAAACGATGTAACTGTGTAGTTAGCATGAGGATGCTATTTAGATGAAGGATTGCGCACAATAAGTTAAATAATTTGATAATCACACATTCTTAAAAAAAATTAATAAAAATAGCTGTTTTTAATAATTAGACATATTCTGATATCTGTGTGAAAATAAAGTGTACAAATTCACAGAAAGTACTAAATGTAAGCTACGTGTATGATTTAATGTTTCTATTAACTTTTGTATGAAAAACATTTTTTACATCATCGTATCTCATCAGGAAAACCACCATATTACCGTTAAATATACTGGCATAATGTTACGATTAAAATAATAAAATATTGATGTAAATAGTTTTTATTTTGTTTTCATACAAAATCCATTCAACTTGATTTTTGATGTAGCCTATGGCTCTTTGGTGTGATGACAGACTTTGCATCCTCTATCCTCTAAAATTCACAGGAATTAAGAGATTGCTGTGCAAATCAGCCTGATTTGTGTTGGACGGGTTCATGACCTCAATACCTGCATTAAACATTCAGCCCTGACCTGTTCAATAACTCAACATATAATTCATCTTAACTGCACATGGTCACTTATATACCTCCCTTACAAGTGTTCATGTAACAGAAGCAGCTTTATTTGTTGCCAAGAAACTGAATTTTATTTTACCAGATGTATTTATGTTTTTAGTAAAGGATTTAAGTATTTTATTATGATGCATTGGAAAGCTTAATTTGTATTTATTTATCATGGTCTTGTACTAATGGCATTTTTAATTTGATAATTTTACTGGAGGACAGTAACATCACTAACTTCTCAATTTTAGATTTAGATGCAAGTACTTAAACCAAGATGAACAAGAACAAGATAAACTATTAAAAATGTGCTTATTTTTTTTTAAATAGATCAAAATTAAGTCAAATGAAACTTAAAACGGGATAAAATATCTGTCATGAAGAAATGATTGCTTTTACATTTTAAGTTCACATAATTTTATATTATTTGTAATGTATATTGTAAATAATTTCATTTATTTATAAATATATAGTTAATTAATTATAATTTTAACTTACCAAATGTTATTTTTAAGCATTTAATTTTCAAAAAAATACTTAAAATCTTACATTTACATGTAAAGTGAAGTTAGTAATCTTGTTTAGATACTCAATATGTGTGGAGTCAAATGCAAAAAAACGGTTTTCGAGCGTTAAAGCAATAAACTAAAACACAAATGTATTTCACCTGTACTTTTAGATTATTCAATTCTTTTGTTTTAGCAAAAAAAAAAAAATCCAAGTAAAAAAAAGACTATTGTTTATTAAAATAATTGTATAATTTCTACCGTGATGCTAAAAGATAATTTAGCAGCTATATTAATAGTTTATAAACCAAAAGTCATTGTCAGTCATATTTAGAATAAGAGTCATTTGATAACATTTTAATAGACTCAAAGAGTCAGTGCAGCCTAAAAATGCTAATGAAATGATTTTTTAGCTTTCTCCATTATAGGTTTTAACTAGGTTTTACCAATTTGACAGCAAAAAAATCCAATTACTCAATATATAATGCAATTCAGTATGATCACCTTTTCTGTTTAATACTGAAAAATAAGTTTATTTTTCATAAAAGCTATTTCCAACAATCACATGTGCACTTTGCTTTCATTAAATATGCATTCAATGTCTTAAAAACTTGTCTGTGAAATAATTTTAGTGCAGACAACATAAAATAATATGTTATGTTACAAATTTGATTCAACGATGATACTAAATTTAATTTGTTTAAATTCTCCCCATATAAATTGTTTGCAACAGTTTTGCAGAAATCATTTTCAGTGCAGTGATTGTGGCAAAGTAATATGTTCACTTATTAGTGTGTAAAAGTTTGTTTGGAAACATATGTTTCCTTAATGTTTTGCTCTGAGTCTTGTATGATTCAGGCAACACTTCATAAACTGCTTTTAGAAAAGGAAATGGAAAATGATTTTTCCACTGGCAAAGTTGTTAGGTGTAATTGAAGTCAGAAAGCTCCTGGGAGCGTATATGATACATTCCAGTGTGTTTCGTGCAGGTGCACAGATGCAGTGCCTCAGAAAATGACTTCATGGCACAGTGGAAGAAAATGTTTCGTCATGGAATCATCAATGCAAATAAATAGCTTTTTTTTCAGGTGTGAATCTCATTTAGCAGTGAGTAATAATTTCAGTCACTTTTTAAAATGTTTTCAGAAGAATAGGCGAAAATATTTGTTCATCACAAAAGCTCCTGATTCTGTAACATGTGTCACTGCACTTGCATCTGTTTTGCCTATCAGCTGGCTCTAATTTTACTGGAACTGCCATTTGATTTGGATTTATGCATTTCCATGAAAGTTAAAATATCTGCAATGCTGTGACCATTGCTTTAGGGAGGAATGAAAGAAAGAGGTTTCCAATGAAAAACACATGTTCTCTTCATACCTAAATTTACAGGCGTGTGAATATCAGCCTGGCGAATAAAATCCATTCACTTCAGCCGTGTTCAGTTTTTCAGATAAAATGTGCTGTTGTAGTCACAAATGTATTGTTAAAATATGCTCAAATGTTTAGAGTATTGATGTCATGGTTTCTTGTTGGAATATTATCATGCTATATATATATATATATATATATATATATATATGTGTGTGTGTCTGTGTGTCTGTGTGTCTGTGTGTCTGTGTGTGTGTGTGTGTGTGTGTGTGTCTGTGTGTATATTTATTTATTTATTTTCTTTTTGGCCTGGTCCCTTTATTAATTTGGGGTCATGCAAACTCCACACTGAAACGGCAACTGACCCAGCTAAGGCTCGAACCAGCAACCTTCTTGCTTTGAGTGTGAGGTGAAAGCACTACCTATTGCACCACTGCGTCGCCATATATATATATATATATATATATATATATATATATATATATGGCGACGCGGTGGTGCAATAGGTATTGCTTAATAATGCAACTTGGAAAAAAGGTGTTACTTTAACAGATGTCACAGCAGAAAGTACAATTTTGTTTGTTTTGCATAAATGTTTAAATGGAACAGTTAAATCAGAATCAGAATAAGTTTTATGCGCCAAGTGTGCACACACACATAAGGAATTTTTGTGGTTTTTCAGGAGCTCAGTGTACATACATACACACAGACATGTCAACACAAGAACACAGAAGACATTAAAATAACTGGAAAATAAAGTTTAAAAAAACTAAGCAAGAATAACCTTTTTTTTGGCATAAACCGTATGTATTTTGTATAAATAGAGCAATTGAACACAATTGTGTGGCTCTTGGTCAACTATTAATCAGAACGAACATTGCATATCTTGCAATGTGACTATTGCAGATGCACACATGTGCAGCAGTTGAAGTTAGAATTCTTAGCCCCCCTTTGAATTTTTTTCTTTTTAATATATTTTCCAAATGATGTTTAACAGAGCAAGGAAATTTTCACAGTATGTCTAATAATATTTTTTTCTTCTGCAGAAAGTCTTATTTGCTTTATTTCAGCTAAAATAAAAGCAGTTTAAAATTTTTTAAACACCATTTTAAGAACAAAATTATTAGCCCCTTTTAAGCTATATATTTTTTCGATAGTCTACAGAACAAACCATCGTTATACAATAACTTGCCTAATTACCCTAACCTAGTTAACCTAATTAATCTACTTAAATGTCTTTAAATGTCACTTTAAGCTGTATAGAAGTGTCTTGAAAAATAACTAGTCAAATATTATTTACTGTCATCATGGCAAAGATAAAATAAATCAGTTATTAGAAATGACGTATTGAAACTATTGTGTTTAGAAATGTGTTGAACAAAATCTTCTCTAATTTTAATAAAAAAATAATTCTGACCTCAACTGTATATATTAAGTTTATATATATATATATATATATATATATATATATATATATATATATATATATATATATATATATATATATATATATATATATATATACAATATGTGCATTGTTGACTATTTTAACTGTACAAATAAGAAATAAAATATTTCTATACAATTATTTACAGTTATGGGGCTTTATCTGTTACAAAAACCATAAACCTTAAGGCCCCTGTAAATGTATTACCATAATGAAATGGGTAGATGTTTTAGTGCATAAAGATCTATATCACCTGCCTGAGGGGAGATGTGTGAAAAGTTTGTGGAAGTGAAACAATCACAAATTGAGGCCTTTAGATAACTTAGGGCCTTAAATCTATATGAAGCTATAATTAGCTTCTCTGCTGTTTTAACAAGAGTTAGGAATTGTTTACTCCCAAAACAAAGTCTATGTATAGAGTTTTAATTCAATTGCAATGTGTTTAATTGTGATTTGTTGTTAAAAATTGTTACTCATACCATTTTCCTGAATGTTTATAATGCTATGATTAGCTTTTAAAAATATTAGGAGTATTCACAGGTATAATAACATTCAAAAATTTTTATTTTTTTTGTAAGTGCATAAATGTTCAAATTGAACTGGAGTTTCAAA